CAGTAAAGCGATCGGACCGCTCGGTTCGGGCCACTGTTTTCCCCTAAACACACAAATTCATTTGTGGTCGGGCAGTCCGTTCCAACACCGGCGGTCCCAAAGATATTAGATTAAATATATTATATAAACTGAGAAAGGCAACATAAACAGGAGCTGGAACCAAATACTTCGTGTGGTGGGTTTTGGCCTGTACACGGACTTGACATGAACAATTATTAAATATTCAGGGGTCCAACCCTTTTAAGCGTTTTTCCCGGCTCCCATCCCTATTCTATCCTGCATATTTCTATCAGGGGCATGCACCTCTTAATCATTCAGCCATTCAATCAACAAACATCAGAAGCAAACACTTGCGATGTTTGTTAGCATTTTGACAGCTAATCTAGTAGCCCTTTCCTGGTATGTCACCTCATCTCAAGTGCTTTCTTGGTTTTAGGTTAGCTTTTTCCTATCGTACTCTCCCTTTTCTTGCAGCGGTGTGATGGGACGCAAAGCATCAAAACCGCTAACAAAAAGCAGAGCCGCTGTTAAACACTCGCTTTTGCTCCTCAACTCTTATCCATTCGCCGTATAGAAACATCAATACTATAAACAAATAACATTCAGGAATATTGGTTAGAACTGATTGATATGGATTCAGCATATTTGGCTACCATGAAGTGGTTTGGCCTTAAGTTAGATGATATGAATGCAAACTCAATTGAAGAAAAAGAACCAAAAGGCTGGATTTTATGCTACTCCTTAAGTGAAGCTTCAATAAAGCGAAAGGGCCGGGCATACGTTATAATTTTACACCCAGAAAACTATTGCCAGAAGTACAAATAATTGATTTGCCATTACCTATTGATTTGTAAGATAAGAGATTTACTTTTGTATGTCGTTTCCGTCAATAGGGCCAACTTTTGTATGACCCCGCGTCTGCTTCCGTTTGACTCTTTATAAAGCATACCAGTTGTTGTAAAAATCACCAAATTCAGTTTTATAGGTTTTTATCCAGCTTCTTTCCAAGTTTTACAATTTTTTGGGGAATTCATGGTCAATAGATCACATTTACACAAATCTTACCTTTTTGATTTCTAATTTTGAAGTGCAAAGATGTTAATATATTTTTAAAAGTAACGTTTTTGTCAGACATTCAATACAATTTCACCCAGAATGGATACACAGATGCTATACATGTTGTTATGGAATAATTTGCTTAGTTGCTCAACCTCTTTTCCCATGGCATAGTTCTACAGTATTGCTGCTATCTCTCGTAAGGAGGGGCAGCTTGGGCGCATTGTTGTTGCCAGTCTATGACATGAGATAGTTTACTGTTCAGGGACGAAGGTTCCCTGGCGCACATTCTTTCCTATGGACGAGAGATTCAGGGTCCATATTGCTTTAGTCTCGCTGATGAAGAATGTTGATTATTACACTCCGAACTAGTTAAAACCTCGAGCTGCAGAAAGAGTTTTTCAGAATTTGTTTGGCAACCGCTGTGTGAACTCGTGGCCCGTGACATGTCTTGTGAATTCTCCGGCCGAAGCACCGAATAAACCGTCAGTGTTTGCCATCGAAGCTCCAGCTCTCCTCGTGTCTCTCTGAGTCCTGTTTCCAATTGTTTCAGAAGTTTCCCCCACAAAAGTGATCATTCATTTTCTTGTGAAGAACGTATATAGACCTATCAATTATTTGGCATTAGATCATCACTTCCTCTGACACAAAATAAGCATAAAAGGTAGTTGCATATCTGTAAAATAAATTAACGGGCACTGAAGACAGTGTTGGAATATTTACTCATGTATTTTAGCCTATCGTTAAGTTAAATGTTTAATGCTTTGCAGAAAATAAGTCCTACCTTTTAGATTTCAAATACACAAATCATTTTAGACAAGTCAAGTCCAAGGTAATTCGGAGCAAGTCTCGAGTTCAACGGCTTTCCTACCAAGTTAAGTTTCAAGTCAATCAAAACAACAATGTTGACTTTGAAGACTGACTTTATAGACAATGCTAAAGTCAGGACACAATTCACTACAAATTGTTGCAGATTGATGATTGTGCGATTTTCAAAACATGAAACTTGAATTGTTTTACTTTCAAATCTTCAGTCAAGTATTATACAAAGTAAAGTCTCTGTATTAGTTAAAACATTCACAAATAATTGAATCCCTAACTCTCTGTGAGGGCGCTAACATATCTCACTTCTGACTTACTTCTTTTAGCATGTGTGGTTTCCTAACTGAGGAAAATCGATGGTGAGAGAATCAAAAAAGTCAAGAATAGTGTGAGAAAAGAAAAGAAGAATTAAAAGAAGGGACCGATGATATGAGGTAGGAAGGAGGAAGCGGTTGAGAGATCAGAAGGAAAGGCTTCAGGAAAGTAGTGTGTGTCCTGGTGAGAATAGACGAAATGTAAGGATTTTGAAAGAAATTGTAGAAAGGAAAAGATAGCGGAGGCAACTAGGACAACCTCATATTTAAAAAAATGGGATTATAGGAGGATTTCATACCTAAAGCATGACCTTTGCATTTTAGGACTTATCTCATTCCAATTTCAGAAACCAAGTTGACTCCATCCATGGGTTTTCCAATGTCTCTCTTCTCATTCGTTTTTTTCCTTTAATTGTGTCCAGTGGTACCCAGAGGTCCGTCACCACTGCCCCTCCACACCCATCATCCTGGTGGGCACCAAGCTGGATCTGAGGGACGAGAAGGACACCATCGAGAAGCTGAAGGAGAAGAAGCTGGCGCCAATCACCTACCCACAGGGCCTGGCTCTGGCCAAGGAGATAGGTGAGGAACAGTGATTGGTCCCAGGACTTCAGGACAGCATTAGGGTTAGAGGTTACGGTAGGGTTTAGGGTTTCGGGGTGAAAAAGCCGGAATTGCAAGCTTATAAATCCGGCTTTCCCACAAGTATTTGGGAGATGCCAATACAATTTGTGAGTGCGAAATTATTCGATAGTATTCGATAGTCACTCGCAGCCTCTATAAATCTGCTGCACCCGATTTTCAAAGGGATCCCAAACTGAAAGCCGGATTTGTAAGGGCAGTCAATCTGGCATTAGACACACTGCCATATTTGAAAGATCCACCAGGTGGAGCCATCACCCATTTTTTTATTTAAAGGTCACCTATTAGGCAGAATCCTCTTCTTCATGTCTCTTCTACATCAACATGTGTCCCCTCTTCTTCATGTCTCTTCTACATCAACATGTGTCCCCTCTTCTTCATATCGCTTCTACATCAACATGTGTCCCCTCTTCTTCATGTCTCTTCTACATCAACATGTGTCCCCTCTTCTTCATGTCTCTTCTACATCAACATGTGTCCCCTCTTCTTCATGTCTCTTCTACATCAACATGTGTCCCCTCTTCTTCATGTCTCTTCTACATCAACATGTGTCCCCTCTTCTTCATGTCTCTTCTACATCAACATGTGTCCCCTCTTCTTTATGTCTCTTCTACATCAACATGTGTCCCCTCTTCTTCATGTCTCTCCTACATCAACATGTGTCCCCTCTTCTTCATGTCTTTTCTACATCAACATGTGTCCCCTCTTCTTCACGTCTCTTCTACATCAACATGTGTCCCCTCTTCTTCATGTCTCTTCTACATCAACATGTGTCCCCTCTTCTTCATGTCTCTTCTACATCAACATGTGTCCCCTCTTCTTCATGTCTCTTCTANGACATGAAGAAGAGGGGACACATGTTGATGAAGAAGAGACATGAAGAAGAGGGGACATAGAAGAGACATGAAGAAGAGGGGACACATGTTGATGTAGAAGAGACATGAAGAAGAGGGGACACATGTTGATGTAGAAGAGACACGAAG